TACCCAACAAAGATTGCTTATTGCCACAGCAGACTGTCTAAGACAGGGCTTACTTACCTCTCCTGGCCCTACCCCACTCCAGATAATGCACCAGAATCAAGTTAGACATGCCATGGCTCTGAGACTATATCCCAAACATACATTTGGAGTTTATTTTTATCTAAAAAACAGGAAAACGTGGGAGAAGTATTGTTGGGTAAAAGAGGTAGAGAACAGAATGTGAAAGAGAGAATATTAAAAAACGTCCTTAAAACAAGCAGCAGATTTTATTTAAGTTCAAACATCCCATAAATAAGTTGTGCCTTGCATTCTCAGGTGCTGCTTTGATTTGAAAGAGAGATAAATATTCTAATATTCAGCATGCTGCTGTCTGAACTGCTAATAAATTGCCAAAGTGGCATAGCAGGGAAAAGACAACAAGTCAGGATGATCAACAGTTCTAAAACTAATACCATCTTATCAGATCAGTTCAGAGAAATGAGATTATGTTTTTCATTACTTCTTTATGAAATTCCTTCTTTAGATAACTGAAGTCTTTATAACTTCCAAAGTACTGTCTAACATTTAAAAGGAGGCTGATTTTTTTATAGTGGGCGTGATGGGAAATAGAGTCTTAAATTTACTAATTATAGTTTATTATTGCATTTGCACCCTTTATGATATAAAGATCTGCAAACTTCAATAAATTAAGTTTTCCGGGATGGGACAATAGCTTGGTAGGGAAAAGTTACACTCTCTATCTTCTTAAGAATTTCCTGGTAAATATACATCTATTATAAGCATCCTTCTCCAAGTAGGAAAGAGGTGCTAAAGGTTCCTTAAAATGGGTACCTATTTAGAATGGAATGTATAGTAGAGACAGAAAGACAAGCAGGGAGGTTCTCATTTTTTTACTTTTGCTATAAACATGATAAAATTCATGTTAGATAACAAGGATTAATACAGCTGAACTATATATCTCACCCATTCTAGTATGACCAATGGTAAGGAAGTTTTGGAACTGTAGTTCAGCAATAACCAGAAGACCAACTGTCTCTTCCTTATATTTTCCTACAATTTCAGAAAAAAATTCAACGGTCTTTGAAAATGGAAAAGGAGTTTATGCTCTTGAGAAAGAACTTAATATATGAAAGGAATCCAGCAAGCCAAATAAGCATGATTACAAGGCATATGCAAAGCAATTTCATTTCTAGGGCTATTTTGTTGGTTTGAAAAATCAAAACCCTCAGTTTTAATTGATCAAATCATAAGGGTACAATCTTGCAAACTTTAATCCTATTGCTAGCAAAATACAATTTCTTATGAGTATATTGTGAAATGACTGCTAATGCTACTCTGGTCTAAGATGAACCAATTGTGTGGTCACACAGCATTTTTAAAAAGCATTGGATACAATTATGCAGTCAGCTGCAAACATACAATAAATCAAAATAATATATGTACATATGAAATCAAGATTTGCAGTAAAATCAACAATGCAATTTTTCTTACCTAGCATCTTTCTGTGGCCACCAGATATATTTAAGTGATAATATTTACATATTCAAAATATGCACCTGAAATATTTAATGCCCCAATATTGCATGCACCAATAGAGTAAGCATACTACAGCAAATAGAAATATCTTGGCCTCCTTGGATAATCTTGGAAGTTAAGCAAGTTTGGACCTAATTAAATGCATGGAATTTCAGGACTAAGCTAGGCTAAGCTGGGAAATTGAAAGTAAGAAAGAAATTTCAGAAGGTGATTGGAAATTATTCCCATAACAAAATATGTGCATGGAAATATTAAAATGTGTCTTAACCTAAAAAAGAAAACACAAGCACAAAGATCAAGTTCTTGTCTTGAGGATCTTTGGAATAATGTTTTATATGAGGGATGTAACATAAATATTTTTCAATTTATTATTGTTTGTATTGTTAGAATCCAGAGTCACGTTAGATGGGTCACTATATAATTATAGACCATCGGACCAATCATTCGGCTTGCCTAGGCCACATTGAGTGAAGAGAAATTGTATGTATGTATGATGTATGTATCTGTATGCCTCCCCACACACAAATCACATAATAATGTTAAAAGTCACATAATAATGTTAAATGTGTGGGGCTGTATTATTAGCTGTCCAAAGCCATACAAGGCTTATGGACTACAGGTTGGTCATGCCTGATGTAGACCATAAATCATTAATATCAGCAAACATAATAAACAAAAAAATATAGAGAATAGAGATGAAAAAGGCAAGACTAACTCCCCACAAGAATAATTTCCTTAATGCCTTACTTTATAGCCCCCCTAATTATTTTATTCTTGCTTTGCTCAGTTGTAAGTATTGAGAATGATGTTATGTGTCTTAAATGGGAGGAAGAAGCAGCATTTGAACAAATTAAAATTGGTAATCTGATTATTAACTAAACATTTTAATGGATGCTGGGTTATTGCTGGCATTAATTAACAAGATGCTTCCTAGCTATTCCTGCCATCATAAATCATCCCATCCATCTAATATATAAAGGGTTGCAATCTGACTAAATAAATTAAAGGTTGCCATATTAAAGTTTAAAAAAACATTTGTTAAGATTTAACAAATAATACCAATAATTAATATTAAATTGATAATATTAAATTATTCATTTAGCACTCAAGGTTGTTCTGCAACATCCTGAAATTTGGTTTAATATAGCACACTTAACATATGTTAAGTCTCTCAAGGAAATTGTATAGAAAGAAGCATCTGGTTACAGAAGCAGCTAACAATAGTCTAAACTTGTTGACTAAGTGGCAAGTTCTGTTCCAAGAAAATAATCTGTATCTTGCCAGCATGAGAGATTGAGTGCATGTTTTAACACACTGCAGGCAACCATAATTAGCAAATGATCACTTTATGTATTTGTTACATAGAATGCATCAGCTTGACCTGATTTCCTATTGGTCTCTTGCCAGTGTGCATAGCAGAGGATATGCTAGCAAATTAAATTCTCCTGATTTCATGAGCAAAGTGAACAGTGACAATGATATAATGATACAAAGGCATGCAGAAAAATATCAGAAATCCTGCTGCTTGTAGAGATTAGTGTTGTAGTTCCTTTTCCCTGTCCATATCTGTTAAAAAATGAACATAATTTAGAAATGGGTTTTAAACATTTGAATTTGTAGAAATGAAAACACAATGAAAGGTTTTTAACAGATGGGTGTAAGTTGCCTTCAATATTTAATTTGCCTCAAATGATATCTATGCCATAATAAATAGGCCTATCCTGGTACCAGTAATTTAAATGAAATTTCCCCTGGCATAAGTGATAAAAAGTTCCATCTGCCAATTATCTGTGGGTATTCTGCTACAATTAAATGCTTAGAAACAGGCCAGTAGAAAAAACTGGCAATCTTACTTGGATAGAATTCTCCAGATATGCTTCTAACACATTTGAGTAAACAGTGGGTATCAATAATATGCATACTCCTGAAATTGGATTTGCATTCCTCTTAGAATGCATTAAGATTCCTTCCTATTCTACTTTACAGCTCATTCACCATAATACTATTTCTGCACCTTGTCATGTCAATATCTTTCAACCAGAAAAGAAACTGTTGCTTAGCAATGTCTGTTGCTTAGTTCCCACTCAAGTCTACTACCACAAATCTGGAATTTACAACAATAAGGTGCTGTTAATGGCTCAACTCCACATTAGAAAGTCTTTAAAAACCCACAGTTCCAAATATTTTTACTGTAGGAAGAGCATATTCTTTCAAATAAAAAGGGCAGGATTAAAAACTTTACATGGCTTTTTTTAGAAAATGATGCCATCTCTCAAAAAAGTGACTTTGTTCTCTCAAGGAATCTGTCTATAATTGATTGGATTGTTGCTGAAGACATGGGAAAATTATGTAGAAATTAACAATTGATTCTCATAAAGAATAATGAAGTTTGATTTATTTCTAATAAGAGTGAAGCAGAAGGAACAGCACTTGCCAGCCTTTTCTCTAAATATTCTTTTTGAGTTAGCAAATAACCAGTTGAAGTAGAAAATGGGGATTTTATCTATGTCTATATACTACTAAAACTCTCATCATGACCTTAACTGGTCGAAATGGTACATCACAGGGCAACAATTTTTGAACTAATATACCTCAATTAGGCTTAAAGAATGCATCCAAAATCTGGAACCCATGACTCAAGAAGGAAAGAAACTTAGGTAAGTTAGGAAAGAAATGCCTCAGTGCTACCGAAGCTGTTGTGGTCACATCATCTTCATTTTCAACCCTCTGTGACCATTTCATGAGCAAACTAAACCAAAATGTATCTGCTCAGAGACCAGTGGTTTGAAAAGTTATTTTTCAACAGACTGAGTGGGATTTGTGCCATTCTTTGTATGTTTATTCAAGTCACTGTGTGCTTATTCATTTATGCAAAGAGCCTGGTGGGATTGTTAAAGTGCTGGCTTAGAAAGCAAGAGACTATATGAATTCTAGTCCTCTTGTTAGCCATGAAAGCTGACTGGCTGACTTTGGGCCAGGCTTCTTTTCTCAGCAAAACCTGAATTCATTGTTTTGGGAAAATAAGAGGTAATAGCTCGGGCCACCGCAAGAAGGCTGGCATAAAATCTCTTTCCCATTTATCTGTCAAATCAATTTTATTTATTGGATTTAGACAAATGGCACTGGATGATTTACAGGTACAATCGATAAAACCATATAAAAGACGTATACTTAAAAATAGAATTAAAAACAGGAAAGAGTAAAACATAACATTGTCACGACTTTTTATTTTAATCTCATTTTGCCCATGCAGTGTCAGACTTGCATATGCAAAGTTAAATTAAGTGGAGAATTCCCAACGATTCTCAGTAATTTTAGGACTCTTGATAATTATCGAAAGCAATTATTTATCAACCTTCTCTATTTCTATACATTTGGTTATGGAAAGGCAACTGATTTCTAAGAAGATGAGAGTAGGATGATATGTTAGTAGGATTGAAGTAGTCCAAAAATGGGATGGGGTGGAGAGACCTTACCAACCCCCCCCCCCCAAAAAAAAATAAAAAACCACACAAATATAAAGCAAGCAAGTCTCTTATGGAATTTTCGAACTGATCAGCACGAAAACTCTGACTTAATCATAGATTTGTAAAGTCTCCGAATTCCAGCCCGTTTTCTTAACGTTCTCGCCAGAATTTATCGCTTCCGCTCTATGGACGAGGCTTTCGACGGCGGCTGCTTTGAGTCAACTTCATTGGAACGCGCGAGAAAAATGGCAGCCTCCTTAGAAGTGTGCCATGTAGCTTGCTCCGCTAACCGCGCCGGCCCCGGAGTGATCTCTTGGGGGAGAGGAACTCTATTGGCGTTCGGGTCCTGTCGCTCTGTCATTCTCTATGACCCGCAGGTGAGGCGTGGACGGAGGTCGAGGATTTGGGGCCGGAGGGCTTCTTCGCGTTCAGCAAGCGAGCTCCCTGAACATGTGTTTTGGAGGCGTGGAATGGGATAGAGGCGCAGGACTGGAGTCGTGGGGTGGTTGATTCCTGCTTCTTCTTGGGTATCTTGATGCAATTTAGTTGGTTGCATTCCCAGTAATGGGGGAAAGTGACTTGCTTTGTTTCTGCGCCTGGTGTTCTTAAAGATACAACACCTTTGGAAAGTATTGATTATAATGGAGTGAGCCTCCTGAACATTACTGGGTGCTGTGTAATTGGTTGGGTATAGGGACAGAGTTTATGGAATAAAGGGATAATAAAAACACAATAAAAGTTACAGAATTTTCTCAGGAGATGCATAAATGCCGGTGTGGCAGAACATTACCATTATAAGTTAAATTACAGGTTATTTTTGTGATTAGCAGCCAAACATCTATAAGATACACCCAAAAATATTCAGAAAACAAAATCCTTGTTTCCAGTGTTTTTAGCCAGGGATTTTTTAAGTTGCTGCAGTTAGTTTACATAATGCTGAGTTGACAAATCACAATATCCACTTGACACAAATCAAGACCCAAATAAACTGAATAAATCTGGTTCCTTATTTGTGAGTCATAAGCTGCCTTGGGTATGGTTTATGATAAAATAGATAAATATTTAAAGTAACAAATATGCATGTGTCAATCATCCTGAAATCTCTGTATGTACAGCAATGCTGCATTGTTTTGCTTTGTTAATGCCTGATAGATGTAGAGAATTCCTAGTAGATGAAATATTTGATATTTTATTCAGTATTCTCCCAGGGTATTCTGACCATTTGAAAAAAAAATGATACTATTTCAGTGTCTTTGCAGTTAAATTTTTATTTTTTCAATTATTTCTTTTTATTATTGGCTTGTATGTGTGTTTTTTCCTCTAGAAAAGAAAAGTAGTGGGAACACTGAATGGGCATACTGGGAGAATTAATTGTGTTAAGTGGATTCGCAGAAAAGATGGATGTGAGTACAGTATCAATGTGTACACAAAGAATTTTCCTGTTTGTAATGCTGCTGCTGCTTTGTACCTAGAATAATAGAAAATACTGGTGGAGAATTTAAAAGTTGTGTTCATTTATAAAGTAAAGGCATTGTAAATAGGAACATTGAAAAAAAAAACCATGATAGCCTTGTTGCATTGCACTCAGCCAAATTTCCATTGATATAAAAACTATTCCAAGGTTTGGACTTTTTGAGTAAATGCTATACTCGAAGAAATAACAAATATATATGTGTATGTACGTATATGTGTGTGTGTGTGTGTGTGTGTGTATGTGTGTATATATGTATATATATGTATGTATGCTTAAGTTTTCACAGGTACTTACATGTATGGTATTCAGCTTTGTTTGGGTATTTTCCCACGTCATTATAGTTGTGCTTTTAAAGTCGTAGCAACGTTTCGGCAGAATCTCATCTGCCAGAATCTCATCTGTCACAGACAAACACAATACAGAAGCCTGATGATGACAGATGAGATTCTGCTGAAACGTTGCTACAACTTTAAAAGCACAACTACAATGACGTGGGAAAATACCGGAACAAAGCTGAATGCCATACATGTAAGTACCCGCGAAAACTTAAGAAAACACACACACACACACACACATATATATATATAATTTTATTGGTTTTCGATATTATATTTTATTATTTCATTTAAAAATTTAACTTTATTATTTTGGCAGGATATGTGATAATAAAAAAGAAAAAATATACTTTTTCTTTATCAGTAGAGGGAGCTATGATACAGAGACTGTCATAGTCTTCTCTGCTAATAAATGTGGCATTTTTACTCATTTTGTCCTAGAGGAGTATAATGAAAAATGTGCTGAATTTTGCTCCATAAATCAACAGTATTTTTTTAAAAGAATCGAAAGAGCTGTAGCCTTGTAGCAGGTGACAGGCTGGGTAAGGATGGAAAAGGAGCACATGGAAATTGGAAGAGAGTGGGCATACTGATGAAGATGAAGATCAGGCAAAGCTTGGGAAAAGCAGTGGGAAATTCTAGGAAGATTTATTTCATGTTATTTTATTCATGCAATTTCTATGAGTGTTCAATTCACATATTGTAATTCTGAGTGGCTAACATACAGTGTAGATATAGAAGAAAGCATGTAATAAACTTGAAGATCTGAAAGGCAAGGGCAAGGACAGATCATAGAGAAAATCTATATGATATTTGAGACAACACCAACTTGATGGTGCATAAGCAAAACAAAAACACACAAACACATCATAAAACAGCATCAATAAGGTCATAATGCATTATTTCAATATTAACAACAGCCTGGGTTATCCAATGTCCTGATCCAACATATTATGGAATTTATGTAACTCTCAATTTTAAATATGCAGAGTTTGGGGTACAGTGGGGGGATTTTTTTTTCCTGTTCAGCAAGTTTTTCCAAAGTACTGTCTGGATTATAATAATAAGAAAGACTTAAATTTGACCATGGACTGCTGTATTATGCTCTTTGAATGCACCCTGAAATAATGTTCAAAGCTTATTTTTTTCCAAAACAGTTATTTATCAGTTATCTAAAATTTACATTAACAGCTTTAATTGATACCCTTCCATTCCCTTGGTCCATAAATATCAATGTTATTTTATTGTTGTATGAGTGCCCTCTGGTGGACATTTGTATATTCAAAATGCATTTCTGAAGGGTATACATTTTTCTAAGCCAATAATGCTTGAAACCTTTTAGAAATTTAGATGTTGGAACTATACTTTTATATATGTGAAGTGACTTCTCTACTATGTTCATTGGCTTCATTAATAAATCAGATTGATTATTTGGTGTGATTCTAGAAGAATTTAACATCAACTGCATACTTCTGTTTTAGTGCTTTTAATCAAGCTATTTAGAAATCCTTCTGTTTATGTTGTAGAAGACTGGGATCTTCATTGTGACCTGCCAAGGTTCCTGCCCACATGATTTTTTTTCATTAAAAAAGAGTGATGAAATATTGGAAAAAAAGCTGCCAGTGATATTTTTTATTTCTAGTAGAGCTTCTGGACCTCAAATGGTCTTTTGAACATTTAGTTAAGTGAAGCCCAAATATTTCAACTGGAAACGTGTAGACCTTCCTGGAAATATGGCAAAATGATCAGATATTAGAAAGTAATCTCTAGTTAACCAGTTTGGTCTAGTGCATAAGGCAAGAAAGTGCACTAGGCAGGAAACCGGAGATCATGCGTTCTAGTCCCACCCTAGGCATGAAAGCCGGCTGGGTGACTTTGGGCTAGTCATTCTCTCTTAGCCTAACTCATTTTGCAGGGTTGTTACTATGGGGAAAATAGGAGAAGGAAGGTGTATTAAGTATGTTCATTGCCTTGAGTTATTTATAAAAATAAAGTTGGGTGGGTAAATAAATAAATAAATACATACGTACGTACGTACATACATACATACACGCACATTAAAAAAAGGAAATGTAGATTATATGGAAGCAATGTCCCAGTAAAATAGTGCTTTGTAACTTGTTAAATTGTTCACAGCAGCCATTTTACAAATGTACAAGACCAGCAGAAATTTTGCAAGAATTCCCCACGTATACTCTAAATATTTTGTCAGGTAAAAAAAGATTAAGAAGTCCCGCAGAGGAGATAGCAGCTCTCAATTCACATGACCTATATCACAATGGGTTAAAATGCTACATTTAACAACTTAATACTGAGAACATATTTTGTGATTCTTGGGATGCCAGGAGTTGACCAATAGAACTAAGAATTTCTTCCTATCAATAGCATTCTTATGAATAGAAAATGAGGAAAAGATGTAAATTGGTTTGATTTAATATATATAAATCTAATACATAATAAATAAAATATGTGCTGAGAATATAATCCATATCACACACACACACACACACACAATGAAAAGTAATGCCTCAATGTTATAAATCACCAACAGATGGCAGTATAAATAGGGGTCTACAACCCTCGCAAGCCATGAGCGGGTGAGTATGTGAAACTCTATTTGCATAAATGGCAGGTGCGCAAGCCTGCCACTTGGGCAAATGGAGTTAAGTAGATGCGGTGCACATGCTCCTATCACTTGTGGAGAACTTCCCCCTCCGTGCCACCTCCCACACAGCTGCTACTGGCCGGTCCATAGAACTGGAAAGGTTGAGGCCAGCTACTCTAGAAGCTCTCATGTGTTCTTTGGCATCTCTTCTTTCACTTCATTTGGTGGGTTGTTGCTGTGAAAAACAGCAACTTTTGTGTTGCCATAGTTCATGAAATGGAAATCTGCAGTGAGTAACCACTGCACTTTAAGCAAAGCACTGTGAAAAAGTATGTAGTAAACACCTACATATATTTTTTTTATAAAGGAATGACATCATCTGTTTAGTGAAAGGCAAAATGAATAAATTTTATTCTAGTAAATTTATGAGATTCTGTTCAGGATTTATTCTACCTTTCTCAATCTGTTAGACTCCAGATGTGTTGGAATCATTTTAAAATTATCAGATAACATGACTATAAAATATACTGGTTAACTCTTTTGAGAATTAATTTTCTGCAGAGAATAAAGCTGGAGAATGTTGATTTATTATCTTTAGAGTGCGAGACTCCCATTTTTTTTTCCTTTGGAAGTGACAAGAAAAAAATAAGATGAAAACTAACTCTGTTCTATCATTATATACAAATACATTTTATTCTTAAAAAGAGCAGCTTAGACACAGAGTAGTAGATGAAAAATAATTTTCACCTGGATTGTTCAATCTTTTTATATCCCTCTGTATAATAGCTTATGAAACGGAATTAATATCTGGCGGATCAGATAAAACTCTTATTCTTTGGGAAATTCAAAATGAGAAGGTATGTAAAAATATTATGGTAAGTAAAGACATAAACTTCTATACATGACTTTTAAAAAATAAGTTGAGCAAGAAAAGAAACTAAACCAGAATTTCTTAAATTATTAAATTAATAATTTATTAAAGTTATTGATGTTATCTCCTTTGTGATGTTTTGAAAGATACAGCTCCAACTGTGTTCTGTTAAATGGTGTATACAAAGTAAAAGATCTACTGCTATCATCCAAGTTCAAACTTTATTTCATCACGAGAAACACTATGAAATGAAATATAGTTATACAAATTGTCCTCATTTAATTCCACAATTGGGACTGGCAACTTGGTTGTTAAGCGGAAAAGTCACAAAGTAAAAACTGCAGCTATGCTTGTGACCTTACTTAAGCATTCCTTTGCTTTAAGGGCCTGCAGAGGACATAAATATGAGGATTGGATCTAAAGTTATTTTTTCATCACTGTTGTAACTGTGAACAGTTGCTAAATGAGGCAGTCACTAAAATGAGGACTGCCGGTATAAGAGTCTGAGTTATGACAAATATGACAAATATTTGTCCTTAATGTAAAAGGAAAAAAAATCTAAATATTTCCTTAAAAGCCTGTGTTTGCAGTATAACGAATTAGAAACTTTTCTAAAATGATGCTTGAGATTCTTTGATATCTGAACTGTGTAATTAGGGCCACGTGCTGTGCTTACATGAAATCTCAAAATATAGTTTGTCTAAGCTATAGTACAGAAATATTCTCATTATTTGAAAATAATCATCCTCTGTAATCAGCCTTAATACTGCAGCCTTATTTACTTTGGAACCTGCTACAATGCTGGGAAAGGGAAAAAAGTGAGTTTTTAAGCTGCTGGGTTTTTCTGGCATCCTTAAATGCTGCCAGCTGCTATAGTAGCAAGGGGAGATATAACTGTGCTGTGTAAGAGAACAACTCCATCTCTTCCACAATAACAGGAATCTTGGAATCTTCTTACTCTTGGATTATGAAATGTGACATAGTTTATTATGCTGATAGAAGAGACCTTTTGTAGTTCTGGTTTGATCTGTGAGGCCCTTGATATTCTTTGAGCTTGGCTGCTTGCTTGCAGATGTTTTATTACTAAACTAGGTAAATTGTCAGTGCTAGTAGGGTGTGGGATTTGTTGTCACTTTATATTCTAGACTTGCCTGTCAATGTTGGTGGGAGTGGTCTTGGTTCCTTCATTTGGGCTGTGGTTTATTGTTATTTTGTTTGGAAGGTCCTTGATTGTTTCTTGATTGTTGGTCAGATATTAATCTTGTTAATCTTTGCTCATATTGGTGTAAATTACTGATGAGGTGTTTTGGTCTTTTTGTTTCCTTTTTGGCTTTTTGATTATCTCTTTTGAATGAAATGTAGATGCCATTCATGTCTATGTGCTTGTTGGTGGCCAATTTGTCTGGAGTGACACCCAAAGATGAGCTGCTGAGTGAATGCCTGAAGCAGCAGCAGACATGAAAGGATGATCAAGCAGAGGAAGTGTCATGGCAAAACAAGACATGCGTACGATGTATGATTGATTGATAGATAGCTGAAGTAGCTGACAATCCTATCGGTGGCTTGAAAAGGCTGGATTAAAGCATGAGAATAGACACTAAGCATTAGATCCATAGAAGCAGAGGTCTACCACATTAGACAGGACCCGAGTTGCAGACTGTGCAGGACCTCAGAGACAGTCCAAACATAATGATGGTATAAGATGCAGACAGAAACAGCATAGACTGAATGGCACAGACAAAATTGGGTACAGAACCTTCTGCACAATATATGGGCTAGAGGTGTCAAACTCATGGGCCAGATCCAGCCCACGGGGTGCTTAGATCTGGTCCATGGGGCTTCCCTAGAAGGACCAGCTTCCGGTGACTCTTCCAGGGAAAACAGAGCTTGGGAGGGCCACACGTGGCCCCCCAGGCTCCATTTTCAGCCACAACAGCCTCCTGCAGCCCTCTGCTAGAAAAAATGGAGCTTGGGAAGGCCGTTGTGGCCAAAAATTGAGCCTGGGTGGGCCACGCCAGTCTTCCTGGGCTCTGTTTTTGTTGGCGGAGGGCTGCAGAAGGCCATCGTGGCTGAAAACAGAGCCGCAATGAGAGACGTTGAGCTGGCCACAACCACCCTGCCCACGCCCCTCCCAGCTATGTCCCTCCTGGCCATATCCCCTGCCCTCCCCAAGGTCAAACACAACCTTGATGCGGCCCTCAATGAAATCGAGTTTTACACTACTGGGCTATACCATCTCAAGACTAGATGTGAACTTTTACAGAAGGTTGTGGACAATAACAGGGGTAAGATGCCGTGGGACTTTTAGATTCAGACAGAGAGACAGGTACTGGGCAATCAACCAGACATTATGGTGGAAGACAAGGAGCAGAACACAGTGGAGGTGATAAAAGTAGTGGTGCCCAGTGCCAGGAATATCGGGAAGAAGGAGTATGAGAAGCTAAAGCAGTACCAGGGCCCGAAGGAGGAACTAGAGAGGATGTAAAGTGTAAAGACCAAATTGGTCCCAGAGGTGGTAGGGGAGCACTCAGGGCTGTGACTCCTAAGTGAGGGAAGTGGCTCCAACAGGTCCCAAGAACAACAACAGGTCTCTGTCCAGGAGAGTGCTAAGAAAAAGCTAAGCTACTGCACAGAATAATTAAACTCCCAGACCTCAGGTAGAGGACTCGAGATTGAGTATCATATCACCCATAGGAGTGGGAAAGAATTAAATAAATATCAGAGTGCTTCCACCAATGTCTGTCAATACAGTACTTTGAGGCCCAGTAAAGGACAGAAACAACATCCGCAGTCTCTAAATCAAGGAGAGAAAATGAATCCAAAAGGAAGAAAGTCCAAATTTTTCTTTTTTTCTTTTGGAAAATGAATGTCAATGCTCCCTGAAGGAAAAAACTTTCTTATCTTTGAATTAAGAGTTGTCCGCTGTATATAGTTACTATAAGGATCCAAATTGTGTATAGTCTTACTTTATAAACTTCCTCCATACATTGTTTTTAGAAACTATTTTAGAGAATGAAGGTTAGGTGTTAGTACGTACATGGCTCTTACATACATATGGAAAATATTCCATGATAATGTTTAATATTTTCCGCTTTCTTCCATGTTTATGATTTCCCACAACTCTAATGATTGTTAGATAATATAATAATTATATGATTGGTTAACATGTGTTTGGAAAATTATTATGCAATTGCAAAATATTTTTACGTACACCACTCACCTAAAAATAACAATCTGACAACTAAAAAGAAGTATTTCTCTTTTGGAAAGCATGATTGATGACTCTTGGCTGTGGACATATCTCATTGGTGAATATAGGTCCAGGGGGTGGGGGGAAGACCAGGGTCAAGGGTGAAATGAGACATGTCAACTCCTAATAAATCAATCTTTTTCACTCTGAGAGATGCAGCTAGAGACTTTTGATTTGAATGGGGGTGGATGTCGGAGTCCTGACACAATCTGTGCATCCTTCACTGATGATAAGTATTTAGGTTATTTTATATAATGGCACCTTGGAAGCTGTTTGAAGATACATTAAATGACAGCCAACAGTTAATATGGGATTATTGTATTCTGGAAATCAGTGCTACTTTTCTCCTTGCATTAAAACTTTTTCTCAAATATGTTTTTGTTCAATTTACCTGAACCTTTTAATTCATTGAATATTCTATCAAAACTTCTAGAATAGTTGCAGAACGATATTGAAACAAATAAAAGCTTTGTAGAGTACATGATTTCTAATTGAATGCAAAAATTGAGCACCCAGTTACACATCTACTTATTCTTTCTGCTCAAACTTCACATTCCAGTTATTTCCATGGCTAGACAAAGTTGAAAATTGTACAGTCACATGACAATGTTGTTTGAATTTCAGGGTTACCTTTCTTTGTAATGTTATAATTTTCTGTTTAGCTTGTGAATGATGTCCACCTTGAAGGTCACACTGAAGCAATTTGTGCATTAGATGCTGTTTACATGACAATTGAAAATGCATTAGGATTAAGCCTACTAATAGCTTCTGCAGCTTCAGACTCTACTGTCAAAATTTGGTCGAGACAAGGAACAGAAGGTAAAAGTTCTTTTCCTTTTGGTCTGTCAAGATACCTTGTATCAAAGAATACCTTAAGTAAAGTCCTCCATATTCTACTAGATCAGGGGTCTCCATTCTTGGCAACTTTAAGACTTGTGGACTTCCCTCAGCCAGGAGTTGAAGTCCATAAGTCTTAAAGTTGCCAAGGTTGGAGATCCCTGTTCTAGATTGTTTCACTTTTTGTACACCAGGGGAGTGTATTCCACCTTACCCTGCCCAATGTGCCTCCACCGGACTAACCTTATTAGGCTAAGAGAAGGTTATAGCCCAAGGGTCACCAACCCCTGGGCTGTGGCCCACCTCCGGGCCTTGAACTGTTCGGAACCAGACCGCGGAAGTGACAGGCAAATTTGCATGCATCCCCACTTGCATGAACAGCAGCCGGGTTTGTGTGCGTGCTCCATTTGTGTAAGTGGCAGGTGCATGTGTTCACCGCTTGTGCAAATGGAGCATGCATGCTTGCCTATTGCTTGTGCAGAACCATCCCCTCCCCTTGCTGGTCCCCAAAGCTGAAAAGGTTGGGGAACTCTGCTCTAGCCCAAAGGCTTCCAATCAACTTATTTGACTTCATGTGGACTTGAAGCAAGATAGCAGCTGGCAATTAATTATGATGTTGGAGAGAAGTAAAGGTGAAATAACTCCCCTTCTCCCAATAAGTCTCCCTGCACTGCTTAGCTGACAAGCCCCATCTCCAACCAGTTAAAGATGCATGAATATAAGAGGTTAGCATTTTTAATTTGTGCTCCTTGCAAAAATGTAGACCATGTCTGGCAGAGATTTTTCCTATTTTTGCAATAATCTTCATTTTACTGGTTGTAGCAGCTGGATTAGAACAGATGCTAGTGGTGCATCATATTTCATATTTTGACCATATTTCAGAGTTGCTGAAATACATTCCATGCTTGTTTTATTCTTTTTTTGTTGCTACCATGGAACTACAGCTTAATTATTGTACAAAGAATAAACAAGTCAAGTTCATACACATTCATTATGAACCAGTTTCAGATCTTGTTGTCTAGAAAGCTGTTCGTTATAGATGAATGAGTGATACATTTTTAATCTTTGTCATTATAAAATGGCTAAATCACTGTGCATGACAGTTGCAGGCATCTGTAGAAAATAAGTTAGCAATTGCTGAAAATAGTCTAGTTGCTGTTCAAGAGCATTGCATTTCTTAAACATCAGTTGCTGTAGATAAGTAATGAAATATAATAATATAATAAATAAATATACTTGTATTGTGATATTTATAGTAAGGATTATGACCATTACTGTCATAAATCTTTATGATGCCTTCTGACTTCTCTTTGTCATTTTTTTTGACTAAAACCAACTTCTCTGTTGTTGATTATCTCTGGGTTATATCACTGTTTGCATTAATCTTGGGTAACATTTAAATTTCTTTATGATTACAGTTAGCAAAGCTGAGCAATACAGTACTTTGAATTCAAAGGCACTTCAAAGAACAGGAAGATACTAGTGTAGGATCTGCCTGCAAATTTTTGAGGGGTCATGTGGCAGCTGTGCAACCATGGGGAAAATCTGAACTGCTTTAAGGAGTTGGAGGCAGGGTGTTGCCTTCATGCTTTGAAGCACATTTTTGCCTTTGAAATTTAATAATTAGTATACAATTTCTATATTTTTATTAAATATCTTAAGTGTTCACTGCAAATAATGCAACTTTATTTTCTCTCTCTCCTTAGTTAAGTGCCTTCAGACACTGATGTTTGGAAATGGATTTATTATGGATGTTTCATTGTCCTTCTTGCCAGGCGATGACAGTAAGAATGGCTGTGTAATTTTTTAAAATCATTTCAAGAAACGTCTAGTGGTGCCAGTGCATGCACATGTTGTCTTATTAAGAACTAGTTTTCTACTATCTGATCCTAAAAATTGATAACTGAGAAATTATTGATCGTCACATATTCTGATTTACTGGATAAGTAGCCTATCATCTCCTTTTTAAAAAGCCTGTTAAAGTCACACTAAAAAGTGATTGTTAAATATCTTTAGAGCAAGATATTTTGATTGTTGTTGCTGGGGGAAAATTCCTAAGAATTAGATTTTTAGTTTGTTAAGTTTATTATGCCTTTCGTGTGATTTGACTTTTATTTTTTAAAGAGTGAGTTCCCTGAATCTGTTTAATAACAATGTAATTTTAACTTGTTTGTTGGATTTAGTACATCTTGCCTGGCGAGAGCTCAAAGCAGCATGCAGTATGTTCCCGTTATTATTGCATTGTTATTATTTCTATTAGTGGTGTGTAATAGGAAAGAGAATGAGAGAGAATGATGGACCCAGAGTCCCTCAGGGAGCTTTTCTGCCTGATGGTGGAGTAGAACGTGGACATTTCAGTGTCCCATATCTGAACTATTGTAACTTGAAGTTCCCATTGAGTTTGGTGGCAGATCCTTCCAGACATATGGGTCTGTGGGGTGGATTTAGTTCCAAAGAATCACTTAAAACATGCAGGAACTTGAAACTTGTATCTGGCTGAAGTTCTTTAAAGCAGCCTTTTCTTTTCCAAGCATTGTCCTTTACAGCTGCCACACAGTTCAGAGGAAAGATGTAGATGCTTTAAAGAAAGAGATCCTACCTGTAAATGCTCCTTTTTGGAATTGAATCCAAAATGTTGCCTAGCCCTAGTAGATATACAGTCATTGCCTTGAACTGTAAGCTTATGCATATGTTCTCAGAAGTAAATCCCACAAAGTATGAAACAGGATTTACTCCTAGGAAACTGTGGCTATCATTTCCTCTTCTGTAAATGCTGTATTTTGTTTCTATTTTCTTTTGCTCCATTATATTTAGTTGAAACAGCAACTTTTCAATGATTTTAATTTCAGTACCAGTACTGGCTTGTGGTGGTGACGACAGCAGAATCCACTTATATGTGCAACAGGCTGGAGAGGTAACTATTGTTTCTTCTTCTTAGTCTATAGGATTTCTCTTCTGGCATTTTGTTTCTTAACTTTTAAGTTTCCAAGAATTACACTGTTTAACTCCTGAATTTCAAGTTCAGGAAAATTTAAAATCCCTAATTTAGAGACAATATTTCTGGAGGGTAATTGTCTTCAGCTGATTGAAGGTGTCGTTTTGATAAACGATTAGCCGTGTTCAGAGAAAGTTGTTTCAAAGCAAGCTCATTTATTGATGTCAGGTTAATCTATTAGGATTTCAGTGCAAAATAGTTAATTTGTCCTTCTCCAGAGGAAAAGCTGGAGAAAGGAAAGAAGTGGGTCTAAAGGCCTTGTTAGATGTAATGAAACCCATTTTATTTCTAGTCCTCTACTTCAGCCAAAGATTGGTCTGAGGCAATTGGACAATTTTGGTGCTTAAAATACTTCCATGTACAGGTTCCGGACTTCGATAGCATGCCTGGTAGAGCCCAGAGTGGCTGTGTGTACAGCATGGTATCATCAGTACATTGATTATATACTACTTTACCTCAAATAATATGTGCCCTCCCGGAGCAATTTAATGTAAATATTAAATTGCATTCAAAGGGGAATTGAGCCCTTGGCACCCCACATAGAAACAACCAGTCATGTCCACTTTGTAGGCTAAGCGCAGAGTAAAGCTGTCTGTGAGGTTGCAAAATTCCCCTGTGACCTCAGAAAATTCTTTGGGAGGTTCGGGCATCCGAATTTGCTTTCAAATGCGGCAGAAGTCAAAGATGCCAGTATGCTCCTTCCTTTACCTGATTTCTGTTCTTTAGCATTTTAAAATACTACTTTCATTTTGAATTGAGCTTGGATGTATATGGGCAATCACAGGAAACTTTACCGCATAGGATAGAAGTGAGTATCACAGGATTCCAGCAGTTGCATTGGCTTCTGAAACAAGGTTGTGCAAAACAAACTGTGTCCCAGCTTGACACCCTATATCTGTGGTGGCGAACCTATGTGCCACAGGTGGCACACAGAGCCCTCTTTGTGGGCATGCATGCCGTTGCCCGGCTCAGCTGTTCTGTACATGCGTATGCGCCTCCCGCCAGCCACCTGGTCTTCTGGTTTTTGGCATGCATGTGTGTGCAAAGACCAGCTGGCCAGCGTGCAGGCATGTGCCAGAAACTGGAAGCTTAGTTTCTCAGCATGTGTATGCGTGCCGGAGAGCTGCTCTTCTGTTTTCCGGCACTCCCCACCTCACGCATGCACGCTCCCATTTCAGCACTTGGGTGCCAAAAAGGTTTTGCCAACGCTGGTATATCAGAATGCTTTGAGTTCCAAGCCCTATGAGGAATGAAAGTCCTGGAGTTATACTTCCAACACGTTCGAGAGACTCTGAGATTGAAGAATCTTCAATGTTACAGTAACGAATTTACTATGATAGAGTAATCTATGGTCATAAACCAGGAAAGCTGCAAAAAGTACCAAAATTGAATGTTAGTGAACTGCCAAACTACACAATGGAAAATTGCAATATAAGTTTATGCTGCATATTGAGGGTGCTTATTTGTTTGTTTCAGTTTCAGAAATCTTTACTACTACATGGACATGAGGACTGGATAAGAGGAGTTGAATGGGCATTTTGTGGTAAATGTCATTCAGTCTGGCTTATGAGACTTCAGGGGGGGATTTCTTATATTTTGCTGTCATAGAAGCTGGGCACTTAAATATTTTAAAATAATGCTGATGAGAAATTGAATTCCATACATGTTTCCATATTTTTTCTGCTACTATATGGAACTTCAGAACACGATTATTACAAATATAGTTATTATATAATTATTACAATTAATATATATATATATATAAATTGTAATAATTATATAATAACTATATCTATATCTATATCTATATCTATATCTATATATCTATATCTATATCTATATCTATATCTATATCTATCTATCTATCTATCTATCTATCTATCTATCTATCTATCTATCTATTACTCAGCTTTGTTCGGGTATTTTCCCACGTCATTGTAGTTGTGCTTTTAAAGTTGTAGCAACCTTTCAGCAGAATCTCATCTGCCATCATCAGGCTTCTGTATTGTGTCCGTCTGTGAGTCAGACCCCCACAGTGAGCCTGTGAGCCTCCCCCCCCCCCCCGCATCAGGCTCATAATGTAATTTAGAGAAATGAACCATTGCAAAAAGTAAGGTTCTGGTTTTGTTTATTAAGAAACCATTGTAAATATTGATTTCTGTCGTGCACTGAATTTCCCTTTTAAATTCTTCCTTTTATTACTGGTTTAACTTTTTTTAAAAGATGGAGATCTGTATTTGGCAAGCTGTGCTCAAGATTGTCTGATAAGAATCTGGAAGATGCATGCAACTTCACTGTTTGGGGAAATCCAAGATGAGGACACTATTAGGTTGAAAGAGAATGTTTTCACCATAAAAAATAGCAATGGTAAATATGTTCTTTTATATTGGATTTTTTTCAAATAAAAATGGTTTCAGCATGGTTAAATAAAATATAACATGCCTTTCTTCTAATACATTGTGGAAGAATGTGCCATTAATTAGCTGAAACACAAGCTTCACTTCGTTGTTTTTTTTCAATTAATTTGATTGATGCCCCCATGATATAGATATCTGTTCTTGCACATGAATTTAATTTTGTCTATGCTGTATTCTTTACATTAATATACACCCACATTCTTTACAATAATATATTCCATAAATCAAATAGAAAATATTACATCCAACTGAATATAGTGAAAGAATGTTGTTTTTCCTTTCCATGTCAGCTATGTGTTACATTTTATCTATGTGTGAAACATGTATTTGCATCCAGAACCTTGGATATACAGAAGTCTTCTGCCCTCTTCATATCTTTTTTTGGCAGATGAATTCACAGACAGAGGATCATAAATTTTGTCATTGGGTTATTTGCAGGGCTGAGTCATTTATACAATGGCTAGATAAATCTTGACAATTAATTTACTCTTTGACATTTGTTTTCCATTCTGATTGATTTCAACACATGTAACAGAATTTTCTTTCAACTTGCAATGTGGGAACTCTCTGGCAGTAAGCTTTTACTTGGTACATCTAGTTTCAAATACAAACAAGTTAAGTCGATTGTTTTAAAGACAGGCTGGAATATTTTTTTTCCCACTCTTTTCCACTTGTTTTGTTTTGTGATAGGTGCAGATAAATCCTTTGCAGTTACCTTGGATTCAGTGCTAGCTGGCCATGAAAACTGGGTATATGGAGTTCATTGGCAGCCACCATATTTCAAAGGTAAGAGTATGCAGTTTCCAATTTGAGTTACTGGTAGCGATGACAAGGAATGTGGAATTCATTGTCAAAATGGAGAACTCCATGTTGAGCTACTCCTTCTACCTCAAACATAGAAAGTTTAAAATGTGTGATACAACAAATTATGGCCTTTTTTCATCCTATGTTGAAGTTTATGTTGTGCCCCAAAGGTTGTATCAGTCATTTAGTATGCATCTGTTAGCTTATAATTACAGGGAAGAGAATTATTTTGGGCAAGACTGCTTTCTTCTCTTAGGATCAAGGTTAAATTTTGTGCAGTTTGATTAAATCCATAAATGTAAAATAGGCACTGCCGAGAGTCACAGTATCCAGGATTCAATTTACAAGATATTAGTCCATGCACATCTTCGAGGACATTGTAAATTGCGACCTTCTTTCCAACTTCAGCCATGTATAGTTGTTTTGTGTGGCATTCTTGTAGACTTCCTATTTAAGTTTTTCTTCAGGTGCATTTGACAAAAATGAATGAAAACATGGGGTTATTTTTTCCTGATACTGTAGATGGCAGGATGGTACAGCCAATGAGGTTACTATCTGCTTCAATGGACAAAACGGTGATCCTTTGGTCTCCAGATGATGAATCTGGAGTGTGGTTGGAACAGGTAGACGTGGTTTTTCATTTCCCCTGTTTGTATCATCAAAAGAAATAAAGAGCTAAATAGCCAGGCTTCATTTGCTTCCTTTCTAAAATGACTTCCCTGTGTGGCATTAAGAGTCTTGAGCTGCGTGTACCCAAGAATAAATTAAGTTACCTTTTAAGTGGATATTGGGACTTTTGTTGAAACTAGATTAGTCAGCCATCGTCTCAAGGAAATCTGGCATAGTTTAAACATGGAAGCAATCTACACTGGATAAGGGAAGGGTGGAACGGGCTTAGCATTTGACAATTATTCTGCAGGAAATCAGCTTTGGTTGATTAGGCACATTTTACATCGCTGTTGCCTTTGGGTTTGGCAAGTTAATCAAGCATTTAAAAATAACTGCTTTCATACAAAAATGTGTGAAATAATTTCTAGATGTTATATTACTTTTCATATTGTAGCATTTAATCCCAGCCCCCAGGGAAATATATTTCTATCAAAGTAATTATTCATTTTATATAAACTTGCAAACTATCTTGCAAACCTGTTTTCAAAAGGCTTGTGTTTTTTTTAAAGTTGTGCATGGTATTTGAATACATCTAGAATGACATTGTTTTAACTTCACTTTTAATGTAATTCTAGATCATTTGTCTTTTGCTCATAGTCCTTAATTAGCAGGGGGAAGGCGCATTCATACATATTGTAAACTTTTTCAAAAGGTCCGGATAGGAGAAGTGGGAGGAAATACACTTGGATTTTTTGATTGTCAGTTCAGCCCGGATGGATCAATGATTCTTGCTCATGCTTTTCATGGAGCCCTTCATCTTTGGAAACAGACTTCTTCAAACAAGGCAAGAGATAGTTGATTTCTTATCACCAAAGTATATATGGAATATCTTTATATAGGAAGAAATGGCTCTTTGCTCACTCCATATAACCACATTGTACACTTTTAAACATCTTTTATAAATTGAGGTACATTGAGGAGGGGTCCCCCCCATCTGAACTGTAATAAATAGCAAACACATTCAGTTGAATAAGTTTGGTTAATTTGGACAGACTTCTTGGCCTTTGTGGGGAAAACAAATGGCAATACGAAATGACTTTTGGGTCCATCAGCTTTTATTTATTTGGCCCAGGATGATCTCTTATAGCAGAACTTTCCCAGGTCTGTGACAGAGACTTTTGTATTTATTACAACATTCTGATCTGGATTCATCATGTTCCTCTTGAATATTGTACCATTGGATACTCCCTATTTCCAAATTATTGTTTAGGATTCTAGAGCTGAAAGTACTAAGGCTACATATGATCACTGGAAGATTTGGGCTGAGCTTTCAAAGGCAGACAACTTAAAAGTGTCTGTTTCCTTTGTTGTAAACGTTAAAAAATAACCAGAATCTTTTATCATCCAAGAATGACACTTAAATGTTCTTTGTAAAGCTTAAATTGATTTTCAACTTTAGATATAGTTCTTAGTGAAGAGGATTACTATATCCAACTTTCCAACCTCATTCATGGATTAAAATATAAATGTTTTTGATTTAGAGTGAATGGACTCCAGAAGTGATGATTTCAGGACATTTTAATTGTGTCCAAGATGTGAAGTGGGATTCAAAGGGAGACTTTATAATTTCTGTTGGTTCTGACCAAACCACAAGAATATTTGCTCCTTGGAAAAGAGAGGACAACCCAGAGGTATGTTTTTCTAGCTTGTGAAATTATGTGGATGGAATAGTTAGTTTCAGATCGTCCATTTCCAGACAGAAAAATGAGTATTTATTCTGGGCATGGAGTCAATGTGTGGAGAGAGTAAGGGAGGTGACCTTCACAAAATAGGTAAGAATAATTACTGTTCCTAGACAAAGAGGACTAAAATGTTCTTTAAGCTTTAGGAAGCAAGATAATAAGAAGCAGCTCAGGTAAACTGCTCCCTGGTTCATTGGAGGAAGGAATGGAAAGATAGTATAATACGACTTCCAGGATTCTGTTTTTAAAGCCTATCTCAATGTACAGGACTTCTCAAAGTTACAATGGTACTGACAACTGTGAGAAGAAAGGTAATAAAATAGGGCAAAGTAGAACAGATATTTTGGGCTCAATTGTGGTTATAAGTTGAGGTAGTTCTACTCTGACTGCGAACTGATTTTCTGCTCTGGTCTGCCTATTAAGACCAACAATGTGCAGGTTTGATCTGAATGTTTGACCTAAAGCTTGGGTTTTCAGGTAGAATGGGAAAAAGGCAAAGATAAGGATAGATAGACCTTGGGAAAATTGGGGAAGGGAAGGGGACAGAGGGCAGTTGGCCATTCTACTGTCACCATAATATGAAGTGTTATGACTAGTCCACTATCCAAATACAATATATCCAATTTGCTCCTCTGATCATCGCAGGACCTTCCTTTTCCAGTTCTGCTCAGATTTATAGCTAAGATTGATATAAGAGAAGGGGTAGGTGGGTTGGTTAGATATGTAAGACTTGAATTCAAGAAAAAGAAAACACTAGGAAGATTGGTGGCCAAACTGGTTCGTGGACCCTGCAGAGGAAGATGGGAGAGGTACCCTAAACTTGCCCTACTTGTCCCATAAGAATCCTATTGAATTGGGCTGTGCCAAAACCCAGAGCAACCAACATATTATTCCAAATTTATTAGCCACAGTGTTCTTGTTTTGGGCACAACTCTTGTAGATAGATTAGAGCCAGCATATCTGAACTGCAAAACTCTGGCTGGCCACGGAATGGTAGCAAACAGATATATGCAAGTTGTTAGGATTTTTACAACCAAGTTTTAAAATAATTACCCCCCAACAGAATATGTAATCTGAACAATAGCTCTTCTTAATGTTTCTTAAACTCTCCTAAAATGTATGCACATTATATTTTTATTGTTTAATAGTCAAGTTACTATGGGTTTATGACAATATCACATGACTATAAACATTTAGAAGTTTATATTAATATTAGTTCTTTAAAGATCCATATTTATATTTAACTATATCATTATACATGCAACATCATGTTGCTCATCTTCTGTTTCCAGTGAGGAATAAATATTGTTAAAATAAAATTCAGGGGGAGGCCAAACTGGAGGGCAAAATTGTATTTTGAACCAGGACAGGATTTTGGTCCCTTTCTGTCAAGGATTGGACAGATCAGCGTTATTTTGTCAATTATTTATTAATGAAAGAAGATTCCTGGTATTTCCAATGAGATCTGAGCAGAGGTGAGAATGCATTTTTGTGGGAAATGAACTGAATGTATATTTTCAGCAAACTTGACAATAGATTGATAGAACTTAAAATTGACAATAGATTGATAGAACTTAACATGTTAAATGCTTCTATAGATTCTAAGATTGGTACTTGTATCAATGCAATGGTCCTTTTACTAGGTGACATGGCATGAAATAGCAAGACCCCAAGTCCATGGGTATGACATGCAGTGTATAGCACTAACAGCACGGTTTCAGTTCGTATCTGGAGCAGATGAGAAAGTGCTGCGCGTGTTTACTGCACCTAGAAATTTCATTGAGAACTTCAGCAGTATTTCTGGAATATCTCTGGAGAAATTATATTCTGGTGTAAGTTATGTATTCAGTTGCTTTAATAGAACTAAAAATACTGTTTTACTACTTTTTATGTTTGCATCTCTCATTTGAATTTGAGCACAATTTTAAACATATTACAGAAATGTTGAATAAACTCATATTTTCTTTACTTCAAGGGCAGAACTAGGGTATACTTCTAGAGCATAGAGCTGTGATGGTGAACCTATGGCAGGCATGCCACAGGTGGCACACAGAGCCATTTGTGCTAGCACGTGAGCCAGAGGCAAACTTACCTCACTGCGCATGCACACACCTCACAGCTGATTCTTCGGCCAGTTTGAGGCCTTTTTCGGCCTTGCAGAGACTTGAAAAAAGCCTCTGCAGGCTTTGCAGGCCAAATAATAGGCCTGTTTAATCATTTCCTGTTATACCAGAAGTGACAAAACGGACTATTATTTGTCCTGCAAAGCCTGCAGAGGCTTTTTCCAAGTCTCTGCGAGGCTGAGTTCTAGTCTTCCTGTGGAGTCAGTTTTTTGATGTGGTTTATTTTGTAGGCTAGGCGATTGCATTGATCTGTGAACTATGGTTTGTTGAACCCTAGTGGTGCTGAAGATTGAGTTTGAGGTAGTACATAGTATTAAACTTGTTTTTTGTGGAGACGTGAATATAATTTTAAATTTGAACATCTGTTTAGCTACAATCACACCAAAATTCTTAGAAAATGCTTGTAATTTGTGCTATATGGTATAATTGTTACTTCTGAAGATGTTTCGTATTTGTGATTTTAATTACAACCATGGTTTTATTACTAATAATAAATATTAGTAATATAGGGTACAGATAATTGTGCTTTATTCATTGAATGTGGTCGAACAGTTAGCATGATGTATGAACTCAATAGTACTTCTCTATGGCCTAGAAAATTAAAATTGAAGCAAAGATTTTAAATTAATTTGAGATTTTCTAGGAATTCCTTAGTATCATATATACTGCATTTTAAATTTGTGACTTACAGAAAGTTACATTGAAGGCCAAACTTGCAAGAAGGCTATATCTATAAACAAAAAGATTCAGCCAATCATGAATAATATTTTCTTTTTCTTAGCAAATGGTGGATCTTCCAGAAGGGGCTACCGTACCAGCCTTAGGTTTATCCAATAAGGCCATCTTTGAAGGTAATATTTGTCTGCATTTGTGTACATGAGTGCTTCTTTGATCATATTTGTACTATGTAGGTTGATGAGAGAAATTAGCTGAGAGATGAGTGATCCTTAGTTAATGTGGGGAGTTCTTAGTGCTCTCCTAATGTTTGGGATTATAAATTTCATAATGGAAATTAGCACCTCCAATAATTAGAAATTTTGAAAATTGCAGGCTAAAATATCTGCAAGATAAAAAGTTTCTATCATCTGGAAATTTAACCTCTTAACTTACATGGAAAAATTTCTGGAAATTTCTGCCTCCATTTTGTTGTTAAATTGGCAAAAGATTGCTTGATATATCGCTTATCAATACACAGGAACTCAGTCACTGTGAATTGTTCAATGGAAGCTGCTTAAAGCACACAGTGTTTTAAATATAATATACTTATGCGATTACAGGACTCTTCGACTTACAACCAGTCATTAATGACTGTTTGGAGTTATGACAACCTTGAAAAAGGTACTTTATGGCCCGTAAAGCATTTCCAGCCATATAAAACATCACACTGCCCCTCTACAATTACATCACTGCAGTTTGAGCGCTTGACAATCAACTCACATTTATGACTGGTTGCAGTGTTCCACAGTCACATAACTTTTATGATTTTTGACTTTTTTTGTCATTTTCTAGAAAAAAAAAAGCCCATTTGAGAGAATGAATTAGTACTTAAGACCGCGTTATATAGGTCCTTTTATTTTAGGTTGATGTTTACTTCTTGATACTTGGATAAAGTCAAATTGACTTATTTCATGAAACCATAGTTTAAACAATGACATAGTTTAGGCCAGGGGTGGGCAAACTTTTTGGCTCGGGAGCCTCATTGACTTTTAAAATTTGACAGGCAGGCCGGGTCAGCACAAGATACGATACATATAAAAAACTGCATTTGTTAACAGTACATATCAAACATAAACAGAAAAGGTCCTTTTTTCTTATAGCTCCTGTAAGAATGTCAAGCAGGCCTTTGCTCTAGGGTACTTCCCAAGCATGCCTAACTTTATCCCATTATCCCAAACTCTTCTTGCTGGGGATCATGGGCACTGTAGTTGAGATGCTTTGAAAAGGCTTGCGGGGGGGGGGGTGTCAATGCAGAAACCGCAAAATCCACCCCCTGTCAGTCAGCCAGGCCCTACCTTGAACAGCGATCAAGAGAGGTTTTCTCCCTAGTAAGCACCCCTGGCATAAACCCCACGCTTTTTCACGGTTAGCATGGTCAAGCAGACGCTCTCACAAAACTGTTTGTGGCTGGAAACGGAGCCCAGTCCACGAAGGGTGGGAATTGTGGAAATCCGAGCACAATTCTCTCCAACGGTCCGGATTGACAGTGAAGGGTTCTTTACGGAAGGGACAAAACGAACATGCGGAGAACGGAGGTCCTAGCGGCATATGACATCATCGGACCTGTCACTACACACACACAAACATGTACACGAGAAATAACTAGGGTACTTTGGGGAGCCGGGCACCCCCAGATCTCCACCTGAGCAGCCCTGCAAACATGCTCCCCAGCCAGCCACGGCAAGACCATTCCCCACCCCCCAACCCCCCACTCCCTTTGGTGTAAATAAAGGGAAGAGGTCAGTCGTCAGCCCGGGAGAACCGAGTAACACACCTCCCCTTGCAAAAAGGGGGAGACGCAAAACACACACACGAGCCCCGGATGTCATACCACTGCACCGGTCCTGAATACGGGAGAAATCCGCTCGGCAAGCGCTGAAGCTGCCGCCTGCCCCCCCCCCCGGCTCGATGCTCTCCAGGGATGGAGAGGCAGCGCGCATCCGTGCCTGGACGCCCCAAACTCTCCCTTTGCCAGCGTGGAAGGCAGGCAGCCAGCAAGGCAGGCAGACCCCGCAAGGCTTCCGAGCCTGCCGCCCCATCCATTCGTCAGTCCATCCCCACCCGTAGTCACCCGCGCCTGCCCGCTGCTCCGCAGTTGCCAGCAGGGTTCCCCCATCGCCTTGGGCGCGCCCCGGCTCCTCTAAGGGCAGCTGGCAAGTCTCTCTCCCTTCGGCCGGCAGGTGGACTGTCCTCTGTTCCCCTCTGCTGTTGGCTGCCCCGCTCAGCCACCAAGCCGTCGTCCGGCCCGGATCTGTTTTTTCCCGGCTCCCGCTTGGGTGCTCCAACCGGGCGCCCCAATCTTCGGCGGGCCAGATTAAAAAGACCAACGGGCCGGATGTGGCCCACGGGCCGTAGTTTGCCTACCCCTGGTTTAGGCTCTGAATATAATGATCATTTGGAAGTCAAAACAAAGGAAGATTCTTGTTCTTGAGGCTTCTCTCAGACAAGAGAAAATCAGGAGAAAGGTATGAACTTATTTTTGCTTATTCCCATTATGTTAAACGATGTTTTTTTGCAGCATTTCATTCCTTCCTTCCTTCCTTCTTTCCTCCCTCCCTCCCTCCCTCCCTCCCTCCCTCCCTCCCTTCCTGTTAGTCATGTGTATAGTTTGGAAATGATTTGAGAAATGCTTCTCATAATACTTCTGTGCTATTCATTAAAGTCACCTACATTTTCCAAGCTTCTACCAAGCCTGAAAAAAAATGAACTTACTTTAAGGAGTTGATTCATTGTACCTTCTAATGCAGTTTTTCCAGCTTGCTCCAAAATGTGAAAAATGTTGGGTTGTTTTAATGAATAGTAGAGGCTTATCCTAAGCATTTCTCCAAATCAATTTTGAAGTTTGGGTAACTCTATTATGCATATCCCAATTCATCATTTTGTTATTATTTTATATATGATTGGTTTTGCATATTTATCATTGTTATGTTCTAGTGATGGAATACCTCGTAAAAATAGAAAGTAATTGATGAAGTTTTTCTGCTTTTGTTTTTGCTGGTTACCATCTGGAACGGGGAGGTCATTGAATGCAAAACATTTTGAGTTTAAACCATATCAAATTTGAAATCCTTTCTTTTAAGCGCCAAGTATTTCATTTTGTCCACAAAACAGCTGTCTCATTAAGTGGGTTGCCGTGACAATTTTGGAGGTCTTTTGAGCAGAAATCAGTTCTGTTTCAAATACAAGAAACACAGGTTTGGACTCAAAATGCTTTCAACATAATCAGATTTAACAGATTTAACTGATAATCAGAGTTGGAAGGGACCTTGTAGGTCATCTAGTCCAACCCTCACCCAAGCGGGAGACCCTACACCATTTCTGACAAATGGCAGTCCAATCTCTTCTTGAAAGTCTCAAGTGATGGCGCTCCCACAACTTCCGAGGGCAAGCTGTTCCATTGGTTGATTGTTCTCACTGTCAGAAAGTTCCTCCTTATTTCCAGGTTAAATGTCTCCTTGTTCAGTTTCCATCCATTATTCCTTGTCTGGCCTACAGGCGCTTTAGAAAATAGTTTGACCTCTTCCTCTCTGTGGCAGCTCCTCAGATGTTGGAAGACTGCTATCATGTCTCCCCTGGTCCTTCTCTTTACTAGACTAGCCAAGCCCAGTTTCTGCAACCATTCATTGTATGTTTTAGCCTCCAGCCCCCTAATCACCCTGGTTGCTCTTCTCTGTACTTTTTCTAGAGTCTCATCACCTTTTTTATAATGTGGTGAACAAAACTGGATGCAGTACTCTAGGTGTGGTCTTACTAAGGCTTTACAGAGTGGTATTAGTACTTCCCTTGATCTTGATTGTATCCCTCTGTTAATACAATTTAGGATTGCATTAGCTTTTTTGGCTGCTGCTGCACAGTGCTGGCTCATATTTAGCTGGTTGTCCACTAAGACTCCAAGATCCCTCTCACAGTTACTGCTATTGAGCCTGGTTTCAGCCAATCTATAGGTGTACTTTTGGTTTTTCTTGCCTAAGTGTAGGACTTTACTTTTCTCTACATTGAATTTCATTTTGTTAGATACGGCCCAGTGTTCTAGTCTGTCAAGATCCATCTGGATCTTGAGCTTATCTTCTTGGGTGTTAGCTATTCCTGCCAGCTTAGTATCATCTGCAAATTTGGTAAGTTCCCCTTCTATTCCCTCATCTAAGTCGTTAATGAATATATTGAAGAGTACTGGGCCTTAGATGGAACCTTGTGGCACCCCACTGCTTACTTCCCTCCAGGTAGACTTCGACCCATTAAGGACTACTCGTTGAGTACGGTTTGTCAGCCAGTTGCGAGTCCATCTAGTGGTGGTGCTATCTATTCCACTTTTTTCTAGCTTACTAAGAAATAGGTTGTAGTCTACTTTGTCAAATGCCTTGCTGAAATCTAAATATATTATGTCCACAGTATTTTGCTGGATCAAAACAGAACCTTTCAGTTTCAAAATGGTTTGAATTCAAAATGTTTTGCATACTGTTATTGAATATCCATCACCAAAATCTTAAGAAGAAAGGATCCGTAGCCTTTCTCTAACATTGTAAGAGAAACCAGGTGTGAATTGATAGAGCAGGGCTTAGTAAAGAAATTATCTCAAAGATCCTAATGATACAACTATTTCTGTCTCAAAATCTCCTCGTAGTACAACCCTCTGCATACCTTTTCGGAACTAAACTTTACTGAGTTTAGTGGAAGTTCTCAGATTTAGTATGAAGGGGTCTTCTGCTGTGCCATATTGTTTGATTTTGAGAGTGTGAGGCTTGAGTCTGTCAGGGAATCTAGCAGAAAGAAATTCAAATAAGCCACAGAGGATCTCTTTTAATATATTCATTAACGCTTTACATTATTTGTCATGCAGGTTCTAGTAAGTTATCATATTTTAATTTATTTTGAGCAACTTATTTTGTTCAGTGAAGTTACTACATTAACACTGCATTAATTGAGCAAATAATGGCAGAGGCTTGAATTCTTGGTTTCCACATATATTGTTTGAGTTCAGTAATAGCCCATGTATTTTCAGCAAATTTTGATTCTTGAATAGAAGCAATTCAATAATAATTCATGACACTCAATCTGGATCAAATTATTCTCTTCTGTATATTTTTAAGTGTTTCCTTTTTTAATGGGCTTACTTTTATTAATAATGTTAGCATAA